TTGTTTATATAAGTCTATCAAAAATTCAATTTTTATTTGTTCGAGGTGAAAATTCTTGAAAAATGAAAGATAGTAAAGTGTTCGAGATCGTTTTTCTTCAAGCCATTAATCTGTCTATTAATAGTGCTTCCTTTAGTCTTTTTAATCCTTTTAGTACCCTTTGGTATCCTCACTTCAACGACACTTGCACTCCTACCTATATTTCTAAAAGGTCTACATGAACTAAAGTGTAGCAAATATGGAAATTTTACCAGTTTCTACAGAATAAAAGTAAAACAGGATAAATTTATTTATTTTTTTCAGCCTACGGAATAATTCGATTCAACGTGGCTAATTTGAGTTGAATTTGAATGAAGGTTTTCTTATTCTTTTCGGTTTCTGTTACATTATAATGTAATTGTATGCATTAATTTCATAGCGACTGCAAAGATAGTCTTTTAAACTAGATAGATATCAAAAATATCTTTGAAGTTGCTTACCAAAAAAATTTCAGAACTATAAACAACAGTCTTCTTCTAGCCTAATGATTTTTTGTACCACCCTTACTTTATCCTATCATAAGGACTTTCTACTCTAACCCTACTCTGTAGGACTCTGAAAACATCGAAGTGAACTGATAATTTCAGTTTGACGGTTTTATATGATAACCTTATCAATCCATATAATAACTCAAAAATTAAAGTTTCTATCAATGTCTAGTATATTGAAGTAATCCTCGATGTTCCCAAGGAGCATCTCTTTCAAGTACATTGCCTTGACAGATCGAACAAAAAAGAAATGTCATTTGTTCTATTTCAATATCTCCATCATAAATTTTATAGTTTTATTTGCTTCTCTTATGGCAAAATGTTAGCTTGAATATATTTCGAAACAAAAAGGGTAACCTATCGCAATATTGTTTAAAAATATCGACTAATGCCACAGACGTGAAATGAAATGTACCATGAAAGAACAAAATAAAATCTTCAGTTGTGATACATGACACATTTATTAGTCTACTCTGACTAAAATCGATGGATATAGAGAGGAATACAAAGCACAATCCAGGATGTTTCGAAGTCATCGAAATCGGTAGGGGAATCGATTCTTGTTACGAGGATTGACGAGCAAAACAGAACGAAAAAAATCGTTGAGTTTCGCCCGGGCAGAACGAAATTTTTTCAAGGTTGAAGATTCGCCCACGATTACGATAAATATAAAGATTTATTAACATTAACACAGAAGATAAATAGACTCTGATAATTTAATCAAATCTATTCAGTCAGCATGCTTTATTCATTTGCGATTTTATTTTCTGTTGTATCACCATTAGACATTTTTTTTTTCCTAATAATATTGAACTTTAGTCTATATCTAATCCTACATTCTTTTCTTTTTATCTCTTTTGTGATTATGTAATCTTCACAACTTCCATTGTTTATTCATGTTGAAACGAAAATACAATAATTCTCGTAGAGCACTAAGAAAAGCTGATCGTCAAGCATATCACTGAGAGTATTAGCAATGTAATAAATCACGTAGAAATAATCATAACCAAAAGAAAAATCATCATGAAAATGTCTATAATCCTACAAGTATTAGAAACGTAAGAAGACAAAAAAAGTATCCATAACTATGCTACATCACATTTAGATCAGCATTAAATATTTGTTTTTATTAGATTGAGTGTTATTTGGATAGAACAAATCTAATTATCCATGGAAAAATTCTTCACGAATACTCGAAAAGGAGGTTTTCCTGAAAATATTTAAAAATAAAAACTAACTTTTTAAATATAATAATTCATGTTGTATATTATCATAGATATGTAGTTTTCATTTTGTAGAACATAATAAGTGTCATTTCCTAATCTTGAAACAACAAAATTGACTAACAAAACCCTTATGTACATAAGAATTTTTTTTATCAACTTTATCTACAATATCAGGAAATAACACTTATTATGTTCTACTAAGTGAAAATTACATAACTGATGATGGACTGCTTTAATCATGATTTTTAAAATTTAGTCTTTTTTCTCAATATATTTAGGAAAATCTTGTTTCCAACAATCAGAAAGATAGTTTCTCATAGTTAACTCAGTGTGCTTTATTCCACGACACTAAAGAAATTGAAAACAAAAATTTGCTAAAAATTTTGAATTTTCGTTACCTAATCAAAAAGTGCATTAAATAAAATAGATCATAGAAATTGTCATCATCTCGTATATATAAATGAGGAAAAAAAGAATTCGTTACACATCTTTAAAAATACTTCTATTTTTTCCAATGATTGTTATAAAATCCGAGTGATCTCGAAATAATTATTTTTACATCGGATATGTTCATATAAGCATAAGTTATCGGATTAAAGCCCATAGATTAGAATAAATCTCAAGAGATAAATCCATTCAAGCATGTTCACATGTTTAAACAAAAACAAGAAATAACAATTTATAGTTGAACATAATCAACTTTATAAACTTTTCTCGGAAGTCTAGAAAAAGCATTACGTAGTTTTTTTCTACGGGTTTTGTCTGTCTGTGTATTGTGCAGATAGTAGACGAAAAAAAAAAAAAGAACAAGGAATCTATTATATATCTGAACTAATGTTTTCATTTATGCGTACTCATGCGTGTGAATCATTGTATCGTGTATTAGTGCATTCAATAATATTTGTTACATAATGACTATAATGCAAAAGTAGAAAAAAGAAAAATACCAAAAGATTCTTTTTTCTTATAGAATTTAATGCTTACTTTAATAATCGAAAAACAAACAAGATGAAGAGTTAAAAAGTTTTCTTTTTCTTCTGTAACTTAATAAAAAAAAAATAAGACAAACTTTTGTGAATAAAATAATGCGAGAAAAAACCAATCAATTTAGCAATTCTATTTTTTTCTCTGTGTAATATTTATTTTGACCATGAAACTTTGTCGATTCTGTTTCTTCGATAATTCTCTTTCGTATTCTTTCACATACGTAAACACTATTTGACAAGCAAAGATGTGAGTAACATGATGTAGCTTCTATGTTGAGTTCCTGTAGATTCTGCTATTTGCGTTTTTTCTTCTTTTTTTTTCTTATTCTATTATTCTTGTTCTCTTTCTTTTCTCTTAAACCTGTGCTCATTGAGTGAAATCATTTTCATATACAGATGCATCTCATTCTTGAATAACGCTTGTCATATAGGCAAAGATAAAATAGCAACATGTTGACGACAATAATTCATTGACAATTGATGCGGGAAATCTTAGTTTAAATTATGCTAATCAATAAAATATCATTAGAAACAAATCAACCGGTAATATTCATATTTACGATTGTCTATATTCGTAATTAATATTGACATATGTTTTTCTTAGACTAGATCAAGTCGTATGAAATATACATTTCTTATGTTATGTTTAATATTATGTGGTGTTTCATTTGTACTCTATTCGAATACAACATTAGATTGGAAAATATTACATAGTTTAATAAGAAATAGTCTTATTATAATGTCATATTCATCAGAAAATGTTACATTTAATTATACAGATAATATATTTGAAAAATTTCTAAATAAAAATAATATAACATCAATAGAAAATCGACGATTTGCAATATTTGCTTGTTCAATTCATTCAACAACTCATGCATATTCATTTTATACACCAATAACAGCTGCTAGTTGGAAACGTGCTGGTTATGAAACAATTGTTGTTTTTGTTGGCGATTTTACTATGCCAAATATTCTTACATCTCGTCTTAATTTATCAAGAACTTATTTAAAACATATCGGTGCATATTTAATTGATATTCAATGTAATTCATCATATGCTGTTAAATTATCTCAATTAGTACGTGTTTTTTCTGGATTTTTACCAGATTCAATTGTTCATGATAATGATGATATATTAACAAGTGATAGTGATTTAATGCCATTAAAAACAAGTGAATATCGACCAACGAACGGAACAGATGGTTTTATATTTAATGCTTTTTGTTGTGGTTCATTTCATCGTCGTGGAAGATCCTATCGAATGTTTCCGAGTTAGTTTATTTTTATACAACAATATAATTCATCTGTCATGTATGTCGTGTGACGTTAGAAAAGAATATGTTCGTATAACTACCTCCTACTTAAGGAATCAGTTCTTTCATTATCTATGAAAATGAGTTCTATATTTTCTTGTCATCAGTAAGAAAGAAAGAAAAAAAGAAAGACAAAGAACAAGAGTTCAGATGATATATTGTATAGAGTCATAGAATTATCATTAATTTCATCTTTAGTATATTCATTCTCTCTTCTGACTAACAGAATAAGTACTACGCATTAACACTTACTTCTTTTGTCTTAACATTTATAACAATAAAAGAATTTGATCTTCTCTCTTTGATCATTCATGAGAGCATTTATTTCTAATTACAAATACATAGTTTAGAAAAAGAAAAAGTAAAACCAAACAACATTGACATTAGAATTTTCAACATCATCTTCGTTTTTCTATTGTCTTGACAAAATAAAATATTTATTCAAATGAGAATAATACATGAATAATTTAATTCTCCAGGGTCATCGTCCAAAAATTACTCTATATACGTTTTATTTCATTTTATTTTATTTTTTGTTTGACATTAGTGTTAGCATGAATTTAATTACTATTGGTAACAGTCTTCTAAAAATATCAATATTTATGTTTGAAGATTAAGATTATATCAAATAAGCTTTAAATCAAGAATAATTGACATCTGCAATTGTATTTTGTTTTCTTATTCTATCAAATGAAACTATATATAATAGACATGAAGTTGACAGAAAACAAAAGAAAGTTCTAATACTTTTACAGTATTACTTAGACAATGTTAGATGTGTATCATCTGTAATTTTATCATTCTTTCTTAAATAAAATTTATTAATTTGTTCTTTCACTCTTATGCATACAGAAAAAAATAAAAAGAAGAAAAGAAATCTTATCTTTACTTATCGATTGAACGAACTAATGTATAATTAATCAAAGATTTGTTGGCTTCTTTCTTTTGTCTCAATTAAATGTACGAAAATGAGGAGATCATTTTTTCTTTAATTAAGTTAATATTTACTTTATCGATTTTTTTCAAAACTAAAAAAAAATTTTTTATCGTCTATATTGGAATTGAATATAGGAAAATAAAACAAACAATATGAAATTATTTGACTAAACGTTTGAAACAGTGTATACAAATGAAGATAAGAAATAGTTCATTGTTGTCTTTCATTCTCTATTGTCTAGAGAAACATATTAAGTCCTTGTCTTTATGAGGAATTATTTATTCGAACAAACAGAAGAAAAAAAAAGAAGCGATCATTTATATATATATATATATGTTTATGAGTGTCTACTGAGAATGAAGGATCATTTTTCTAGATTTTAGCTTTTTTCTGACCCCCTTAGGAGATGTCTTATGCATTATCGTTAGATAATTCAGTTAAACTAAAGGGTTCCTGTCACATAGCTAATGATGTTTAGTAGATTCATCGAAAGCTTTAAAATCTAATTAACAAAAATGATTTACGATCTAGTATAATTATTTTTTGATCGTTCAACTAAAGTCATTGAAACTTTAATGATTATTTGTCCTTAACATAAGAACGTCAAATTAATCTGCTTTTCTATTATATTAGCTAAATCAAAGTTTAGAAGTAAGAAAGAAAAAAAAAACACAACATTAATTATTATGCTGAAATAATAAGTCTCGGAAATATTTTGATCGTGTGCAAAGTTACTTTCAAATAATAATATTCTTAAGATCTAGTTAAGATTAAATAGTATCGGAACTCAAGGAAAAAAAAACAGGCAACATGTTGACCTTCTTTATATCATGCATTAATTCACTAGTGAATTTATAATCATAATAGATGACTCTCTGATAGACATCAACTAACTGTCACGATATTCTTTAATGATGAAAATATAATATTTATTTCATACAACAAACTTATTCTCTCTAGCTTTAAAATGAAGAACATACTCTATAGATTTAATTTTTTTTTTTCTAGTGGGTCATATATATTTAAAAAAGAAAGTTTGGCGTGCCATAGTCATAGAATCTAAACAAAGATCTGAACTTCTCGTTAATGCAACTGATCAAATACGACATTTACTAAGTGAAAATGCATTGCTTTCATTTGATATGATAAGTCTTTATGTAAGACATGAATTTAAAAAGATATACGAGTCACGAATGACAAAAGGCGATTCAGCATGGTATATGGATCAAGTATTATGTTCAATGTTATTAACTGATTATCGTGAACGACATAAAGATTTCAAAATACATGAACGTGGTCGTGGTTCTCGTCTCGATCGTGCTAGTGGTATTGGATATTGGAATCGTGATAAATTTAATCAATTCGGTGATGCTCATTTAATTCATGATGACATTTTACAACAACGTAATTGGAAAATTTTTAATAAATTACTTACAGCTTTATTTAATCAGACTCTTGTTAATATGTTCAATGATTATCATCAACAATATATGATCGCGCCATAAAAAAGAAAAAATATAATTATTATTACTATGTTGTTGTCATTATTTTTCCATGTGATATTATTTTTATTTATAGTTTTTCGATCTATTTTGTTTATATCTACAGAATTTATTATCAATGTTATTTTATTAAAACAATGAATAAAAATAAAATTCTGTTAAAATTTACTAATAAGCAATGATTATCATATGTATCATTAAAAGAAGATTTTAAAAATTTGAACTTTTTTTTTTTTTTGCAGTTATTATTATTGATGCCGGATACGAGTGAATATATTTAAGGCATATAAAAAATAGTATCGGAGATATTTTTATTCATTAAAACAGCTGATCTGATAGCAAAAAAAAAAATTCCATTATTACTCTGATATTTGATCATAAATCAACTATTATCACAATGATAGAGTTTCGATAAAAGCTATTCATTATGATATACGGCAGTAATATTAGATCGTATTTTGCCTCTGATATATATCCTATTTCTTTTTTTTTTCTTGTTATGTATAGTGTTTAGGCGTGTATAAATATTAAGAGAATACAAAAAGTGACATCGGAAGAACAAAAAAAGAAACCTTGAAATAAGTTTGTATTTCATCCAATGATCGAAATAATAATTGTGATTATGTAGAATACATTGACATTCGTTGAATCGATTTATCGAATGTCTTTTTTCTATTCCTCCAAATTCAAAGAACTTATAAACTTGTTTGCAGCACAATGCCACAATTTAAAATCATTTTTGATGAAGGCCATCAGCCAAAAATCACATCGTACGAAATTCCGAGAATGAATTTTTTTTCTCGCACGTTTGTTTACACTACCAGGGATAATACTTGCGGTTTTCGGTTTCAGCTGTGAACGATTGCAGAAAGTGATGTCTACTTAAATTTGAATTAGCTGAACAAACAAAAATTCAATTTTAGAATATATTTTATTAAAAAAGATTTTAACAGAGTTCAAAAATATCCACCGGTTTTGATAGAATACATTACGATACAACACTTTCAAATAAAAAAGAAAACGCCAATAGTTCTTACATGAGTTAAGTCGATACTTGAATATATTAAAATATGAGCAGCAGTAAATTTATTCATTCGAAAAATATTGGGTGAAAGACAAGTAAAAAAAAAGCTCTCGATAAATCAGTGCTAGATCGTTTGTTTTTAATCGCAACGAAACATAAATATCTTTCGACCAAATTTTATAGAATCGATTTTATATATTAAATGCTTGAATTTTTTAAACTATCTAATGAGTTAAACACAATAAAATTTAATAACTATTATAAAATACATTGATTTTGCTACTGAACGTACGATAGTTTGAGAGCAATCATTGAACGACAAATTCTTTTAGAACTCTTGACTGTTCAAAGAAAAATTGCTGTCAAATCTCTTCATGGATAGACTACTTCATGATTTTATTTAGCCTAAAAGTTTCAGTTAACCGAATATGATCTCGAATTCTTTTAGAGTCCAAGGTTGTAAGAATATGGAAAGGGATTCATAACTCAAACGAAAGGCTTTTCCTGAAATTGATCGAATATTGTTTTTGATTCTGATTTCGCGCTTAGTAATGTATGTACTAGCGAAAAAAATGTAAAATCATTTTCTAGCAATATTAATGCGCTCGAGACATCTTCGAGATTTATTATTTTGTTACATACACTACTATTTCCTCTATTCTGTTGTTTACGAAAAAAGAATTAATATTACTATAAAAATTGTAACAACAAACATCGATAAAATCGTTACTAACTAATTTTTGCATAAATTTTTAGAATACATAAGTCATGAAAATATGAGGCATTTCATGCACATCTTACCCAACCATAAAAGATATGTCTTACGATAAAACAAAATATAACTATGCAGTTTCACAGCTATCAAATTTCCAATAAGTCTTCTTTCTTTTTTTTTTATTGAATATTAAATAATATTCAAAAAACTTTCTATTTATGTATTTTCAACATCAAATATTCATATTTTTCGCAATTTAAAACCTAATTACACTAAAACTTCTCAATAGAGGGCGCTAGTGTACCATCAATCATCACACTAAACTATTAATTAATCAATAATATCTTTCATTTTAATCTAAAACTATTAAAATATAAATAGAATAACATAAAAATTCTTCTAAAATCTCTGCAGTTACAACTAGTCAATCAACCAAGCCAATAGTAAACATTCCATAGGTCTTTGTTTCTTTTATCCAACGATTCTTTGTTCTTATCGATCATTATTCTTCTTGTCAAGAAACACAAAAAGCTAAACTCTGTGTATTGACAATCATGAGTTACTTTTTGAAATATGTCGAAATTGATAATTTTAAATCATACAAAGGACATATTGTTATCGGTCCACTACGAAAATTTACGGCTATCATTGGACCAAATGGATCTGGTTTGTTTTACAAAAAAAAAAAAACTAATTTTCCTATATAAATATTTTTTTTGTCGTTCAGGTAAATCAAATCTTATGGATGCAATTAGTTTTGTTTTGGGTGAACCAACAAAAAGTTTACGTGTTCGAAAATTATCTGTACGTATTTCTTTTTTTGTGTCTAATACAAAGAAAGAGTAAATTTTATTTTTACTCTTTCCAAAGGAATTAATTCATGGTGCACCAATAAATAAACCTGTTAGTACACGTGCATCTGTATCATTAATATTTGTCTCAATAAAAACTGATCGTCATGGTGAACGTACTGAACATGAAAAACGTTTTCAACGTTTAATTGTTGGTAATGCATCAGAATATCGTGTTGATGGTCGTCAATTATCAGCAACAGAATATACTGAAGAACTTGAAAATATGGGTATTATACCAAAAGCTAAAAATTTCCTTATTTTTCAAGGACAAGTTGAATCAATAGCAATGAAAACACCAAAAGAATTTACAGCTATGTTTGAAGAATTAAGTCGTAGTGGAGAATTACGTGATGAATATGAACAAGCTAAACAAGAAAAAAATAAAGCTGAACAAGATACACATGCAAATTTTCAAAAAAAGAAAGGTGTTGAAAAACAAAAAAAAGAAGTACGATTAGAAAAAGAAGTTGCACAAAAATATGCTGCATTAAAAACACAATATGTAAGAAAATAACAAAGAATTCCTTTTTGTTTTTTTTTTTTGTTTGTTAAATTCCTTTTTTGTTTTTCTTTTTAGGATGAACTTCAATTACAATTAAAATTATTTCAATTATATCATAATAAACAAGAATTAATGGAAAAACGTGAAATAGCTGATAAGAAAAAAGATGAAGTTATTAAATTAGAAAAACGAAAAGAAATATCCGATGAAGAAATTAAAGCAAAAAAAAAAGAATTAGCTGTTTATAATAAAGAACTTGCAAATGATGAACAAAAAGTTAAAGAATTGGTAAGTTCTATCAAAGAAATTTTATTATTAAATCAAATTTTAATGATTTTTATAGGAAGCACAAATTAATAAACATCGACCAACTTATATTAAAGCGAAAGAAAATTCAACTCATCATCAGAAAAAAATTGATCTTGCAAAGTAAGACAAACTTTGACTTGAATTTTCGTTCTCATTGAAAGCATAGGAAATCTTAAACTATCAGGATATCGCATCATAGGGGGGGGGGGGGGAGGGGATGAGGGTTAAAAAACAGGTTTGGAAGGCCATTACAAGTCGTATGAACTAAATTTTGAGCGTTTTCTACTGAAAAAAAAAATATTCCGATGTTGAGGGAAAATCGATCACGATGACTTTCGGTTTTTGCGTCTCTCATTTTATGACTAACAAGGGAACCTTCCCAGGTGCCAGAGCGCTTTTCAGCCGGAGTTTTGCGCATCTTGTAGCCCATAGTGAACTATGTCTGTGGTAAAAAAAGTTCGTCCTCCTGGCTTGTTTCTGACGAGATATCGAGTTTTTAGTGTCTTTTTTCTATAGCACCCCACTTTTGCAGCAAAGCTATATTTTTGAATTTTGATCTGAAACCTG